GGAGGGGGGAAAGGAATGACCAGAAATACGAGCTCTTGGAAATCAAAGTATTACCTCGAGGAAATTCAGGGCTGAATGTGTTATATGTAGCATGGAAACGAGCTGGATTAAAGAAGCGAGTTTGCTGCTGCCTAGAGATCGCAGCTCAAATCCTCCAACATCCTGCTGCTCACGGGTGGGGACTTGGGAGCCCCAGCAGAACCCGAGCTTTATAAGGTGACAAATCCGAATACCAAGCTGCTCGGTAACAGGAGGCGTAAAAACGCAAGTAAAAATAAAAGGTTTTAAGGAAAATATGTTTTGTTTCCACTCTGTCTACGGCAGGAATGAAAGGAGCGAAAGAGGCAGGACAACTTTTTAGTCATAACCTAGCATATTTACTGGAATCATTTTAAGAACAGAAAATTCGCGGGTGGGTTCAATCACCTCTGAAACATCCCAACATTGCTGGTGCAAAATAGTCTATGGTGCTTCTAAAGCAACCTGGATTTTGCTTGCGTTTCTCGACCTCCGTAGTGCCGGGATCCTAGCTGCTATCACAAAGCCAGCTTTACAAGGAGAACATGCGTGGGGAGGTCAGGAAAGCCTGGAAGACACGCCTGCCCGCTACAGACATGATATCAATGAGAACAGATAAATTAGGGTTCAGATTTCCTTACAGAAGAAGCCTAAAGAAATCAGGAGCCCAAGTGACGCTGGAATTAAATAGCAGCTCAGCACAGCTTGGAATATTACAAAAATCCCAGAAAGTAATATATAATTATGCATCTACCAAACCTCATTTAGCTTGATGACTCAAAATATTCTATTGATTTGAAATACATTGTCGTAATGTATTTTACAAACGTATTTATGTAATGCTTGTTAGTTTAATAAATATGTGGTGAAAACATGGGAATGCGTATCCGTTTTTAGAAACAAATTGCTAAATCACAGATCCATTCATTCGCATGAGAAAAGTAAAGCAAAGGCTTCGCTCCCTTTATTTTATTTTATTCCTATGCAAGTAATGATTTCGAAAACGTACATTATCATCAACACTATAATCACAGCCTCAGGTCTATAACCCTACAAAGGAGGCCTGCGCTGCACCGAAACCAAGTCTACTGGGGGTTGCTGGAGTTCCCTAAGTATTATTTTTAAGTTCCTCTCCATCAAGGATATTATGAGTAATAAGAGTAGCTGCAATTGTGGCTTTTTAGAAAGCGTTCTTACCAGCTAGTTCTCGAAAGGCTATTTTAAAGGTCGCACTGCTGAGCTTGCGGTACGTTGCCTTGGCTAACGGGTACAAAGTAAGTGCATTTTCGTTGGCATCTGGTTTAGACTATATTTTAATTTGTAGAAATTGAAAAATTCTTGGAAGAACTCCACAGCCTACCAAAAAAAAAAAAAAAAGTTCCTCTTGAAAACTAGTTACGAGTTAATGGTAATTCCACTTTGGGCAGGAAGGAAGGGTTTAGCCTGGCCGTCCCGAGCGGGCCGGGGGGCGCGGGGCGCCCGCCCCGGCGCCTCCGGGCAGCCCAGAGGAGCCCACCTCCAAAGGAGCCGTCCCGTACGTCCCACAGAAGCGAATCCCTTTAGAAGCACTAAATAATTCCGAACCCGTGAAAACTTTCTGCGTGGCGTCCGAGTCCAGCCTCTCCTTTGGTACATGCCTGACAGGAACTTCAAACAGCAAATGCCGAGAAATGCAGCCGAAACCTCGTACAAGCTGTAGCCATCCTAAAGGCGCACAATGGGCTCCCTTGTGCTGAAGACACACCGAAACGCTCACAGGCATTAAAGCGAAATCCCAATTCTGATTTACTCCAGCGTTTTGCTGCAGCCTGGTTACAACTCCGGCCAGAGCGCGCACCCGTTTGCCTAAAGCAAATATTTTTAACGACCTTAATGAGCTGAACGGGAGTGATCTGTGCACCGCGGCCGCCTCCTGCGAGAAAAGCAGGTCGCCGGTCGGGAGGACCCGC